CGGACAGTCTCAAGACAGACGGCGAAGATCAACCCAGAACTGCCGGATGAAGGAACGAAGCCCACATCACAAGACTTCCTCCAACTACCGCTACGTACTTCCTGGTACATTGCTGCTGCAGGGTTAGTCTACCTCTAACCCCTATCACAAGACTTCCTCCAGCTACAACAAGACACACAGGGACTACAAAAGACGCCCGGGGGCTGCTCTACTTCGCAAACTACCATATTCATGACTACGAAGATTCAAGATGTTCAATGGAAGAAAACAAGCACTCCGGGAAGGTATTTATAGATCGAAGGAGCGGTGCACATGGACTAGGAGTACCAACGAAACAGGCCTTACAAAGGACACAGTGAAAAGACATGACTCAATAATAGAAGACTCAGGCACAGTACTCGAAAACGAGCATATTCGGAAGAATATACCAACACTGTGCAACCTATAAACATGCAACATTTATACCCAACCACCACCATACAACCTCACCTGGCAAATGGCAGACTAAATTTCAGTTCCTCGAATAAATCAGACCCAAGACCCTCCAACTCTTTGTTCCAAACAGTAAGAGGCTCGGGGGCTACACTCAGTGAGTGCACTTTTTTCTCTCAAAAAAAAAGTGCACGTCACCAAGAAGACTTTTTCAAGACAAAACTACTTCAAGGACTCACGACAAAAAGAAGCCGGACTGAGCTATACCCAAGCTCTTCTTGATAAAGAATCCGGGAACATGCTCGAGACCTTTCAACGAAGATCATGCATGTCCAGAAACAACTCAGATTGATCGAAAACAACTCATATATTATGTCACTAAGCTCGGGGGCTCGGCCTTTGTTTCAACTACTCCCGGAGGCTCGGAATCAAAGACAAAGGGCCAAGAATACAAGAAACTCAAGTCTACAACGACGACAACACATCAAGACCCTTCATCTGATTTCTTTTCTAAAAAAAAGAACTCGGAGAAGGCTCGGGGCTGCGGGATACATAGACCCAGAATTTTTTTTGAAGACAAGAACCTGGACCCTCCAACTTTTGCAAGCAAAAGCAAGAGGCTCGGGGGCTACACTCAGTGAGTGCAATTTTTATGAAAAATTGCACCCACCCAAAAAGAACTCGAATATAGTATGCTCGAGAACCCTTCAACGAAGAATCATAGCAATTTCAGGACAAGACCCTCCAGCTCCTTGTTCCAAATAGCAAGAGGCTCGGGGGCTACACCTAGATGGGAGTACTTTTTTCTTTAAAAAAGCACACACCACTCGAAGATTCCAAGAAGCGCTACATGGTTTCACTCAAGAAAGCACTCGGGCGACGCTTGTTCTCTTTCTAGCGGGAGACTGGAGGAACAAGACAAGGCTTCCGGAGTTCAACCATGAAGTGTTCGGGGGCTTGTCGGTGCGGGACCCACAGGATACCCCGCAAGAAAGAGAGAAGATCTAGTCTAACTAGGATTCTCCCCATGTAATCTTAGTAGTAGTATTATTTTGTAATCCTACTAGGAACTCTCATTGTAAACCGACTAGGAATCTGACCTCCTGACTATATAAAGGAGAGCAGGGTTCCTAGAGAAGAGAGATCACAATTTCTACAACATAATCAATCCAACGCAAAGGCTAACGCCGACTGAACGTAGGGCTGTTACTCGACCACAGTCGAGGGCCTAAACTAGGATAAATCGACTGTCTCTTGCGTTCACCGTCGAGTTCCGCATACGCTGAAGCCCGAACAATACTGCCCCGGGGACCCTCATGGCAGGCTATCGGTGGTAAAACATCGACAATATTTGCACTCTCTAATTTGGCATTGGTTGTCTTTGAAAGGATCAAGATGCCCAAGAGGGGGGGGGTGAATTGGGTTAATTCTAAAATTCTTTACAATAATTAAACCCTACACTTAGCCCACTTCACCCCTTGTGCCTAGAATGTGTTCCTATTGTTCTACCGCACAAAAGTTTTGCAACCTAAGTTCCAATCCTACTATAGCCTGGCAATTCTAGGAATGTAAAGACATGAAATGAATTGCTCAAATGTAAATGCTTAGAGTAAAGAGAGGGAAAGAAACGCGGTGATGTTTTGCCGAGGTATCGGAGAGTCACCACTCCCCACTAGTCCTCATTGGAGCACCCACGCAAGGGTGTAGCTCCCCCTTGATCCGTGCAAGGATCAAGTGCTCTCTACGGGATTATTCTTTGATACTCCGTCGTGGTGAATCGCCCACAACCGCTCACAACATGAGTTGGGTCATCCACAAGCACTGCCGGATGATCACCAAACTCTCAATCACCACCGAGCCGTCTAGGTGATGGCGATCACCAAGAGTAACAAGCACAAACTCTCACTTGACCACAACAAGCCTAATGAGAAGGGTGGATGCACACTTGCTACTCTCCTTGCACTAATGAGGCCTTAATCTTGGATTCTCAAATCTCAATCAACTCACTAGGCTCTTGCTCTCCTTTGCACTCTCAAGGGTGTTTCTCAGCTGAACAAATGGGCAAGAGATCTCCCTTGGACGAGTGGAGTAAGTATTTATACCCCCTCATTCAAAACATAATGTTTGGAGGCTGAGTCATCAGTCTGCGGGGTGACCGGACGTTCTGGTCAGTTATCCCCGCCACTGTGTCAGAAAGAGCCGTTAAGTTCTGACCGGACTCTGACCTGCGTCCGGTCATCACTGACCGGAAGCTTCCGGTCATGAAAACTGCTCTCTGGAACCTTACTGATGTTGACCGGATGCTGGCACCCAGAGTCAGGTCACTTCGCTGTTCAGCGTCCAGTCAGTTATCGGATCGTGACCAGCGTCCGGTCAGCACTGACCGGACGCGTCCAATCAGGAATCTCCCTCTCTGTAACCTCTCTGGAGTTGACCGGACGTAGGCACCCAGCGTCCAATCACTTTTCACTCAGCGTCCGGTCGCAACCAGATGGCTCCAGTTGATCAAATGAACAGACCGGACTCACCCTTCAGTCTGGTCACAACCAGACCAGCGTCCGGTCAGTCATTTGACCCTCTATTCACTTTCAACTCAAAATCATATGTGAATGAAGTTTGCTCCAATTGATCTTAGGGCTACTCCAAAGCTACCTAGTGCTAGATTTGACAAGTGTACACCACACCTAACCCACTAGACTCACCTAGGTCAAGCTACTCGTCCATACCTCCTTAATAGTACGGCCAAAGGAAAAACAAAGTCCTAAACTACTCTAAGTGTCTCTTCAACACCAAACGACACTTAAAACTAGTCCATCCTTAACCTTGTCGTCCATCATTCGAAAACCAAAACGATTTCCATCGTTAGGGGCATGACACCATGATTGCCCAATCAATTGCCATTACCATGACCTAACTTAATTGCCTCTGCAAAAACACACGTTAGTCATAGTAATATCGTATTGTCATTAATCACCGAAACCCAACTAGGATCCTAGATGCTATCAGCCTTGTTATTGAGCATTGCTAGTGAGCTTAGTTGGTTTTGTGCTTTTGCTTACTAGCATGTGTAGGAGCTCCCTCATTGCTTGAAATACTAGTGGCATAGGTTTGTGTGATCTTGCTCCTAAAATTGGTTAGGTGAGCTCTAGCTAACCAGGTATCTTTGTTGCTTAATTAGGATCTTTGCAAGGTGCTAGAGAACATAGATAGAGGGGTGTAGTCTTAGCTAGACCGATAGTTTTAATTCCGTACTTGTTTTGGTTAGCCGACGCGATTAAATTTAGAAATGACTATTCACCCCCCCTCTAGTCGCCATCTTGACCTTACACCCGCGCGCGCCACATCCTGCGTCGCGCTGCCCCACTCTCTGCGCTCGCCCGTCGCGGCCATGGCATGCACCACGCCACCAGGAGAAGGTCGTCGCCGGCTGGGATAGCGTCTTCCACGATCGGCCGAAGACACCACGACAATAAGAAGCATATGTTGCAAGCGTATGTTTCAAGTATTTCAGAGATATGTTACAAGTGTTTTATATTGATGTTGCAAAAGTAGATCGGGATGTTGCACATGTTGCAATGACTATATATGTATGTTGCAGCCGTTTGTTTGAAATGTTTCATCTGTTTTAAACGTATGTTGCAAGTGTTTCATGTTTCAAATGTTGGATGGGACGGCCGGAGTCACGCGACGCACAACCGCTGGCGGGGGACGGAGCAAGTGCGGGAAGCGGATGCAGACGCAGCGTCCCTGCGTCGCGATGATATGAAGCGGGGCGCAGGCGGTCCCTGTGTGCAAGCGGATGGCACAAAAGGGCGAGGCATTCAGGTGGCGCAAGCACGAGAAATGGAGGAGGTGCGGAAAACGAAGACGCACGTGATATAGGTTGTAGGCGTGGCGTCCAGACGTCTGGACGCTAGCATTCCCTGTTTTTTCGTCTTTTTTGCACACTCCAGCTCTAGCATTCAGCGAAGATTATGACAACACAAAACCAGTATCTCACTGTTCCATTCCATGCAAAGATGCCATTGAACAAACAAAAGAGGCCACTGCTTCGATCGAACAAACAACAAAGCTGCAGCGCTTTACTAAGGCTGTCACCAACACGAGACGCATTGCGGAACCTAAATTCAAAATGGATCTCTAACACAATACCTATAGCTTCTAAAAGAGTACTGGAAGACCCATTTTATGTGTTAGGAGAGGCATAACCCAAATCTGAGTATCCTTTTTTCTGAAGACCCATTTGCAGAAAGGGTTGTCTTTTGGTTTTTATTGTTGGAGAAGATAAAAAATAGGTATTAAAGTCTTTGTCTGTAGCAATATCCAAAAACGAATATGTCTTATAATTTGGGTCGCGGTTGTTGGAGACACTGTAACATGCCCATTAGCCACACGTACATCATGCCTGACCTACCAGTCGCATACATACAGAACACATGAACCGTATATCCATCGAACTACGGTGCGTGCGCTGCCACACGATTGAGTTCTTGCACGATCTATCGGACCACCGATGACACAGCACTTATTCATGCGCAGGCGCGGCCAGGCATGCACTTCTTCAGTGCTCAGCTAGCGTTGACGATCATCTTCATCCCCATCCCGCAGTGCCCGTTGAGGCTGCAGATGAAGTAGCTGGTGCCGGGGCCAAGCGTGATGCGGTCGCTACCCGAGTTGTACGACGTGCCGGAGGACCGGCAGCCGTAGTAGCCGCCGGCGTCCACGGCCACCACGTTGTGCACGGAGCGGTCGTAGTTGAACTCTGCACGCAGGAGAGAAAAAAAATGGCCATAATAAGCGTTTGTTTGGACTTTGGAGCTGGAGATCACTAAAAGCTGCTGCCTGTGATGAAATGGTATCTGCTTGCTTGGCCACTACTCACCGAGGACGTCCCCGGCGCGGAAGCTCTTGCCCTTGGACCAGTTGTCCGCGTTGAAGGACCAGTCGACCCTGTGGGTGGCCGCGTCGGCGACGCCGAGGAGGAGGCAAGCGGCGAGCAGGCCGCCGAGGGCAAGCCCCCGCGTCGCACTGCCGCTTCCCTGAGCCATAGAGATCGCTCCTGCGCTGTTTCTTCGGGCGCTTCTGTGCTTAGAGGCAGAGCAGAGGAGTGTGCTGCTGCTTTGTGTTTGAGCTGCTGTAATGGCTGGACAGAAGGTGGGGGTGCTTCTTATAGAGGCCAGAAAGGGGCCAACCGGGAACCTGGATCCATCACGACAGCCTCCAGTTATGGTGGTTGTACCGAATGCTACACGGCGCGCATGAAATGTCCTTCCACAAAAGCTGAGTGAGGACTGAGTTGAGCCTAAGCTCTCAGTCTCTCGCTTAAGAAGAGCCATTGCTACATGCAGCAGTCAAAATTTAGAACGCATTCCCTAGCCTGTTCTCATCGTTTACTTTGGCCTTTGGCCAAAACCAACAGCAACCTTTTCACGGGTTTTCTGCTAGGCTACCTCAGATTACCCGGCAATCTTTGTACTGCTCAAATTGTACTGGATCTTTCACGTCACATCTAGCTAGACTGGTGAATTGGTGAGTCACAAGCGCCAAAAAAAAACTGCATGGGGAACCGGCGAAAATGTTTGTTTGGCTTTGTCTTGTTGTAAACGATCGTAAATTTTCAGCCGGAACAATATTTTTCTCTCACACAAACCAGCCAGCAGTACTTCTTCACGAACCAGCAACGAAACGAACCAGCCAACCGAACATGCTGTGTTTCTGTGGTTGCTGAACAGATAACTGGTTTTCGGGAGACTGCACGGCAAGGGCCTAACACAAGTCTTTGTCACACTCTTATGAAAATGCTTCGGTTTTTCACTTTCCAGTCGCTGTTGCGAAGAAATTGTCATACTTGCATTTCGCAAGGAAGATGTCATCGATGTCGAGGTAACTCAGCTAGCATGATTATGTCATCGTAGCAACTAGCAAGTCGTGTTAAAAATAATAGCAATTTAGCGACACATAAATTGATTTTGAAATTGAGAAAAAGAATAACAACATGTTCATAGAAGTGTGAAGTACCACTAGCACTATGATCCGAGATAAACTCAGACTCACTAGTGCTAGTAACAGAAGAAATATTAGAACGAATAACAAAAAAAAGTATAGACATTCTTATAGTGGGTTGTCAGCGCTAGAGATAGCGCAAATGTAGACAAAGCAGACCGTCGATAGAGATCCGCAAAACATCGGCATAGAGGGAAGAAGACGTTTAGCAAGCAGTCGAGACGGCACTTCCCAAAAACCTGATACGCCCCTACCCCGTGCAGGGACACGGGGAGACTTAGGCTTCGGAGACCTGCTCTCTCGGCGTCGATAACATGTCGCCGACGGGATGGGGAAGACAGCGGCGGCTCAGCACAGTGGTAAAATGAGGAGATGAATTGTTTGTACCGAGAACGACGTCTCGTCCCAATATATACACGCGCCGTAGCTAAGGAAAGTAATTAGCCACGTAATCATATCATTAAGGTGATTGACCTACCGTTAGTCGACTATAACAGTTAGAGCAATCACCATTAATACGAGAATAATTACTTACCAAAATAGGCCAGCGTAATTTTAATTTCTCCATGCATGCAAAAATATCGAGTAGCAAAAGAAAGCTACGCACCTACAAGATCGAAGCGAGAAAATCGCCGGACCATTCACACGCATGTCACGCGCCAACGCCCATTGCCCCACCCCGCGAGACGTGTCAAGGCAAGCATGTGTGTTTCTTCATTTTCCCTCCCCAATAGCTTCAAGTAGTTGGAGACAACTCAACTATTTAAGCTGACCTCACTCCTAGTGTAGCAATGTAGACTAAAGTCCCCCACCATAGTACCATACCATGCATATGTGAGTGGACATTTGAAATTTGTTTAGAATTATTATTTGAACCTGCCCAAATCTTCTAACAAGTTCAGTTCGTTGTGTCGAAGTATACAAGCATGTTTCAGCAAATGTCCTTCAATCAACAGTATATGTCGTGAGAAATGCACGTGGTTCTTTGTCCAATCTGCTTGTTGTTTTAGCTCACGGAAACTGGCTCACTTGAACAAAGTAGCTAATGCCATGATGGATCAAGGCTACTTCACTCATTGGCTACCTTTTACCTTTTAGGTAGTATCCCAACTTTGTCAAGCTGTTGCCCACTTGCCACCGAGAAAAAAGGTTTTAAAAAATGGGATAAAAATTAGACGCTAACGCAGCTGGTTTCTCAGACTCAAGTCGCTTCAAGTTTTCCTTTTTTTTTTTTTACCAAGCACTCTGTGCGTGATTGAGTGTCCAGGCGATAAAACACACTCAGTTTTCTGAAAATATAAATAACACCAAGTGGCTCAGTGTTACTTAGCTTGTTCAGATAATCAGGTCCCAAGTTGACAAGTTCTCAAATTGGACTACCATTCTACCAAGCTTTGGTTGATTCATTGGAATGGACTTGATCAAGGGAGGTTGCCCCTGATGTAACCAAAATTGTCGTTTCGACGGCCGCGAGATCACAAGCATCTGGACCACACGGGTACCATCGATCACAGGAGAGCATACACCAAAATATCCCATCCTAAACAACGTTTTGCGCGTACTAATCAGGATTCGACCCAGTGCTAAGGTCGAGATTCGAGAAGGACCTCCATAACTGTGTCGAAACAGGACGAGGAACCCGTGATCTGCCTCGACGCCACAGGGGACAGGGCAGAGCCAATCGGTGAACCGTGAACGTGAGTCCCCGTCCTGTAGCTTCGATTGCTGCCATTTCAGCCCTCGCACAGCTGCTTTTGCCGCCTTTGACATTGCTGTCCTTGTCCTGCGCGAAGGAAAACAAAGAGCTGAAGATTCTTCGGAATCGATCAAGTTTCTGCGGTCATCGTGACGATGTTAGGACGACAGTACAGTGAAGTTTCAGGGAACTGGTGGCTAGCTGGTAATCACTGTTCAGTTCAGAGAATTTGTCGCTGGCGAGGAACAAGAGCATCAGGTTAGGTGCGCCGCCCTGACGCCTTCACGAGCTTTTAGACTGAACCGAGCCTGAGTCTGTACTGGAAATATACAGAGGAAAGGCTCATACCGCTGCTCTCTATTTTATCCCTAATCCCTCCATTTGCTACAGGGCATCTCCAAACCCAGCGTACCGGTCACACATCACGCTAAACACTGTAGCAGAGAGAGAGAGTGGTGAGAGAGAGAAAGGGGGAGGGAGTGGAATAAAATATGGAATAGTGGATATAAAATATGGAATAAAGATAACATATGTGTGGAAGAAATAAATATGGAGTAGAAAAACTCGATAACTAGGATAGAATATTTTTTTTTAGAGTATGAAAATATAGGTTGACGAGTGTGGATAGCCTTAGGTTGTTCGTGTCTGTGCTATTTCGGGGTGTACATGTGCCTTCTTTTGTTAGGCTCGCAAGGCACTTTCTGAAACACTGTAGGATGTGTTTGGCGCGGCCTCTAGCTCCAGATTCCTTCTCGGCTTCTCCAGATTTAAGAATCCAATGGCCATCGCTAATTCGCTGGATTTTCCTACTACGCTAAATGGATGACCAACTTTGCATAAATGAAAGTTAAAGCTTGAGTGTTCATTACTAGATCAATGATTCTTAAATTTTTTAAGGTAATTTAATATGTGCTCCCTCCGTTGCAATGCAAATTATAAGCATTTTAGTTTTGTTCTAAATCAAACATGTCTATCTTATACGCAACATCAAATAAGATTGGTATTGAGTATAAGTTATTTTATAAAATATTGTTTATATATTTCACATATTTATTTGTAACATTTAATATAATTATCTATTGAGTATTATTATTCAAATGTTTATATCAAGGGCCCCTGATTGTGTGTTTCACTCCAGGTTCTACAAAACACAGGATAGGCACTGCCTCTCCTCCCTCAAAGCAACCATGACAAAAATTCTTGAAGGGGCTTCATGGTTCAGCGGCGGTGGGGGCTTCCCCCCCCCCACCCACCCGCTAGATCCGTCCCTGAACCCAATTGGAATCATGTCAATCGAAGATCTATAACTCGAGATATAAAATAAACAAGCTTTTTGACACAGTAAGTGACGAGAATTGATTAAGCCCTAATTTCGTAATTAAACAAATTTTATAAAGGATTAATCAATGAAACTTCTCATGTCACTAACCTGATGTCCTAGCACAGTTTTAATATATAGACAAAATTAAGTAAATATTGATCTTTACGCTTGATAACATGAAACCAACTATAAAACTAAAAGCTAGGCATGCAAATCAAAGAACAAACAGAGAAACCATCAATTAGTGAATATAGTATAATGCTAGTGCTAACGCAACGGTTTTATCTAGAGGATGATCATAAAAACATCCAATTTGTTATTTTATAGTTTAACCTTTACCCAATTATTATATTGTAGCCTAAGTTATATTTGGCGTAAGTCCTTTATCATTTGTTGCACATCTTCAGGGATCGAGCGTCAACATGACTGGTCGAGGATTTGCATTAAGTATAGCTGTATGTTATATTTAAGATGGTATACATGGACAAACGTTATTTGAAGAATAATCATGACAAGGACGCTGTGGAGAAACGTCGTAATGAAAATTATATTAAATATAAATATTAGAAGTGTACTTATCTTTGGATAGAAATCTAGTCGATAGCGATAAAGTTGTCCGGTCCTCGTGCTTTTCGGCCTGTTGTGACGGTGGTCGCGGTTGTCATAGCGCCGTTCTTTGTGGCAATTATCATTGCGATGTGGTCTGGTGGTCGAGGTGGTCAGAGCTCGGCGGAGCCGCTCGGGACGTGGTCGACGTGGTCCGTGGTCGATGTGGTCGGAGCTCGGCAGAGCCGCTCGAGACGTGGTCGACGTGGTCGGAGCTCGGCGGAGCCGCTCGGGACGTGGTCGACGTGGCTGCTCGATCAGTTCGGTGGTCGGAGGGCATGTACCTAGCTCCATCGCATGGGGAGGCAAAAGCCCTCGGACATGTCCAGCCGAGGTCGGGCGCAGTCGGAGATCTTCCTTGCTTGCGTGAAGGTTACGGAGTAGCCTTATGGCGATTTAGTAGATTGTATGTGGTCTTCATA